TTTTTTTTTTTTTTTTACTTACCCGCTCAGCCCGGTGCCATGGAGTCTAGAAGATGAAGCTGGGCGGTGGTTTTGGAGATAATATAAAATATCTCTCTTTTTGATTGTTTAGTTGGGAAAATTGGGGGTTATGGTGTTGTCTTTTTGTTGTTGTTACCTTTTAGTAAGTTACACTCTTATGGCATTTTTCTGCTCCTTCCACGTCTGCAACCTTTCCAGAGTTGGGGTGGCAAAAAGGCGGCTTCGCTGAGGACTGTTTACTGCTCTGGATATAGCAATGGTGTGACCGTCATTAAGAGACAAAAGGCGAAAACACAGTCAAATCAAACAAAAGGCAAGAGGCGCACCAGTCATCCCAACCACCATAGAAAATACGACCGAGTTAACGTTGGTGTTTGGCTTGAACCAGCTAGGACTTGTTTTCCAGTTTTAATCTAGTTTCCTGTGACGGCTTTCGTCTTTCTACACAAAGAGAAGGTCTTCCTTTCTTTAACCATCCCCCCTCCACCACCGCCAACACGAGAAAAACAGAGCTGTTTTTCTTCAAATAGATCGATTTTCAAAGAGTGTAAACGTTACTGGGAAGACTGACTAGCACTTATTGCTGTAAACATTTTCAAAAGCTTGAAGCTAAAACCTTAAGCTTTATAAAAGCAAAATCGTCTAAAAAAGCATTTTCACTGGATTAGACAAGAGAGACAAAGACAGACATGCAGATGAAGGTTCGGAAAATTAAGGACAGCTCAGCCAACATTAACAAGAGAACTGCACTGCGTAAGGACAGAATGGATTGGGTACTTACAATGTAAAAGGTTTTTAGAAATTAAAAAAAAAAGAGTAACGACTGCGCACACATTTTTTTTGTTGCTGCCATTTCGCTAGTCCTAAAACTATACACTTAAAACATTACCTTGTTAAAAAGAGGAGTTAATAAGATGGCCAGGTTTAAGTGTTTAATAGAGGAAACTATATTTAAAAATTTATTGTTCAGTCAAGAGAATACAGATTAAGACAGCGCCAAGCTCCCCCCACCCATCCAAGAAAAAAAAGAGGAAAAAAAATTAAATATGTCATTTACTTAGGTTTTTTGGAATTCAAAACTGTTAACTGCTGACATTAATGGTGTGCTATGACCTAGTTATACAAGACAAAGATGGATTCCAAGTCATAAGGAAAAATCCAGATCTTTTTAAAAGGTCTTCTTTCTTCCAATTTTGAGTCCTTTAGCCTGTTGACAAATGTTAAACAACACATTCAGGCGTCCTGAACTGGATGGTGGAGTCAAAGGAAAAACATTCCCCACTCGCAACAAAGGAAAAACCCACTTGGCCATTTAATTCCATTGCAGAAAAATGGCTCCCCTCATCTGTTGGCCTCTCCTTGGTGTCTGATGAAGGATGTTTTGAGATCAGCGTCTAATAATTCAAGCCCTATAGAAGCCGTGCGCTGATTGGCCGCCGCGCCCTGCCGCCCTGCTCCAGCCAATTACCTACCCATGGCCAAATTACAAACCCCTAAAAGAGCCCCAATATGAAATACACCGCCACGAAGCCCCATCCTGGCGGCTCCTTCGCCTCGGCTGCCCGAGAGGAGAGGCAGAGTGGGCTGCTAATGCGTCCTCGCGAAGCCCAGGAGCCTCGGAGTTGAACTCACAAAATGGAAGCCGCGCTCTGATTGGCCGCCGCCACTCCCGGACCTTTAATAAAGAAAGGGGAAGGAAAAGATAAATGCAAAAAAGGGGGGACTGTCGCTGGTGGCTGGAGGAAAGAGGTGGGGTGGTGGTGGAGAGGAGAAGCATGTGTTCAGGACAATTACAGGGCTGCTCCTCTTCAAAAATAAAAACAGAAAAGAAAAAAAAGAAAAAGAAAAAGAAAAAGCTGCTATCACCCAGTTCCAGGCGAGGGCTGCAACCTTCCCAGGAATGCGAATGCTAATGTGGTTCAAATCCTGTTTTCCCCTCCCCAGCTCGGCTCCGGGGGGAGGGGGTCGCTGGCCGGAGAGGAAGCCGGAGCAGAAACCTCGATTGCGACTCCTCTCGGGTCGTCTGCGCACCCCCCCATCGCGGCTCGCGGCGTCCACACACACAATCGCCCCCCTGGAAGCCCAGGCCTCTCCTCAAGTCACCGCGCGCCCACCG